GCAAGGTGCCTTGCTAGTAGCAACAAGAAGCTACTACTTCCTTCGCCCATCCCTCATGGAACCGCTTCTAGCAGTTGGATTTGGCCATGGAACAGAACAGAAGCAGTCTTTACTGTCGTCATATTTGGGGTCAAAAATGCGGCCACGGTTTCCAGTCTTTGCTTGTAGGATGTACAGCTACTATTGCTACCACTGCTATTAGCAGTAGCAATCGTAAAGGTTGCAATAGCAGTGTTTCAATTCCTATTGGCACGATTACCCTACTACCACTACTACTTTGCAGCACTAAACTTAAACCGCAGGGCTGCCCCTTTGTAGAGACAGAGTAAGAAAATGGTGTGTGTCGGGGCTGCAGTTGTTGCTCATAGCTTGTTGTTATTATTGTTGTTGATGATGTTGTTGTTGCATCTGTTCTTGCTTGCTGAAGTCATCGTAATCGTTGTCATCGTCGAAGTGGCAGGGGCACGCAATAAGCAGTGGCGGTATGGTAGCGAAGATGGTAGTGCTCTGAAAGAAGAATCCTGGACCATTGCGCCAGCTGCGAAAGCAAGAAAACACATGTATAACGGGAGTCTGGGGCCTGACTGTTTGAAGAAGAAAACGCACTAGGTGCAAGGGAAATCTCCGGCACGACTGGCGGGCACAACTGGTGCTTTGCTTGTGAACAGGCGTGATGATGACTTGTCGGCCACGATCAGATGAAAGACCGGAAGGGGTGGATCGAGCAGCAGTAAAATGCACTGCACCAAAAGGCCTTTTGCCTCTTGGTGGACTGCCGATGTCCAAGCACAACGGCAAATCTCCTTTGATTTTTGGAGATAGAGTCAATCATCCCGATGAGTCTTTTGAATGAAGCTCTTGGATGCTCGGTTCAATGGACCAAGATGGACAAAAAAGGTCGTTTGCAATTAGAGCATCTTGTGGGAGAAGGAAGAGTGTCCAGGCCTGGCTATTACGAATGTCCACAAATGCCAAGCAAACTCGCCCTTGAACTCATTAGCTGGAACAAGCGCGAAAGGGGTCGAGAAGGAAGTCGAATGCAGCAGGTTGAGACTCACCGAGAGCTGCCAAAGCTTCCCTCAAAAGGCACTTGTTCCTAATAGCAAACATTGTTACTACTAGTAACAAGTGCCTCGCTAGTAGTAACAAGTGCCTTACTACTAGTAACAAAAAGCTATTAGAATTAATTGTTACTACTAGTAAGGCACTTGTTACTACTAGCGATGCACTTGTTCCTAGTAGCTTCCTACCCCCCCCGCTATTAGAAAGCTACTAAATGCGAAGCCACCGTCGATCATGGGCACGATGGTCTCCAGTGACCAGTTGTGATGAACGTCACTAGATGTCCGCATGCACGTGGAAAGGCACAAGTTTGCAGGTCCTCTTTCCACCTGGCAAAGCAACATTTTACGCCGTAGCTTCTTGTTCCTAGTAGTAAGGCCAGGAGCGCCCCTAGTAGTTTCTTGTTGCTAGTAGCAAATTAGCTACTAATAGCAATGCAGGAGCCCCTAATAGCGTCCTTGCTCCTAGTAGCGATGCCGTTTGTTCCTAGCCGTATGAGTGTCCGTGGAAAATGACACAACGTGCCCCCTGAGCAGATGTCGGAAAGGTCCTTCTATACGTCCTTCAAGTCCTTCCCCATCCTTTCCTTCCCTAAGACTAAGAAGCTACTAAAAGTTCCTAGGAGCAAAAGGGCATCGCTACTAGGAGCAAGAAGCTACTAGCTCCTGGCATTACTACTAGTAGCAAGGTGCCTTACTAGAAGTGAGTAACAAGAAGCTACTACTTCCTTCGCCCATCCCTCAGAGAACCGGAGCAAGGGACAAACCAGGTTCCCATCTGTTCACGTCTCCTTTGCAGGCCGCTCTTAGGGAGGCCATCGCTGGTCGGAGGGCAGAGCGGCCTTTCAAAAAGTCCTTTGTTAAGCTTTGGAAAAAGCTCCTAGTAGCGAACATTGCTCCTAGTAGTACGGCCAGGAGCCCCTACTAGCATCCTTGCTCCTAGTTGCGATGCCCTTTGCTCCTAGTAGCTTGTTGTTCTTTGTTCCTACTGCTTTGTGAATCGATAAATCATTCTTTTCACCCTTCGCAGATCGTTTTCCCTCTCACGGGGTAAGAGCAATGTCCTCAAGTTCGCCTTCATCCTCAGCTTCTGGTTGCGGGGCCTAACAGAATCCACAACAGTTGGAAACTCACCAACTTCTGACTTTGAGATTCAGGCGACATAGTCAGAGGTGTCATAATCTGACGGCGACAGATTTGGCCGTCCAGCAAACAAAGTAGGAACATCGCAGACCTGCAAGCATTCAAAATTCATCGCCTTCACCCTAGTAGCTTCTTGATACTAGTATTGGCCTCCAACCTGATAGCGATGGCCTCCACCCTAGCTTCCGAATGGTGAAGATACACAAAGGGCCTGAAGAGTGAAAGTCCTTAAACGACTGCAACGCTGGACCACACCTTAGAGCTGGCAGTGTAGCGTCCGATCGCTCCTAGTAGCGATGCCCTTTGCTCCTAGTAGCGAACATTGCTCCTAGTAGGTCTAAAGGCAACTTCAAATAGACTCCCAAGCGTCAACTCTTTCACACCTAGTAGCGTCCTTGCTCCTAGTAGCGATGCCACCAGCCCCTATAGTA